AAATTAACTAAATGTCTTATGTCATGTTCATTTTCATGTCATTCAGTCAACCAACACCAAACTCCACGTACCATGATTTCATAGGTTCATCGTAAATTACTGGGTGTGACGGTATATTTTCTTGCACACATAATCAAATTGGGCAGAGAGTCTGAGCAGAGAGAAATATGGTGGCACTGAAAGCGATTTTGACGACATTACATTATCCAATGTAAGGCGATTGAAAACAAAGAGTGTATTGTGTGAGTGATGGGTTGAGCAGTATAAGTACTTCACAGACAATAACTGTTTCAAAATTGAACGATTTCATTCAATTTAATCGATTGTTTGATTCCAATCTCATATTTATCAGAAAATAAATTGGGCACAATAAGGTGAGACCTACAACAAAAAGTGTCTGTAGGGGTAGGGGGTCAGCCTGTGTAAAGACGAATAATGACTCCCATAGAATAATGACCGGGGGGTCATTTTTCAACGACAAAAAATGACCCCAAGTCGTAGAAAAAAATCAATTTTTTTTTTAGAAAAAGAGCCCTAGTGGTCATTGTTTTACATGTGTATCCTATAAAAAATTGACCCCGTTGAAAAATGACCCCTTTTCCAACAAAATGATACAAAATTTATAATGATTTATAATGATTGATGCCAAGGTTTAAATCTCAATGTTTAATTCTTCTTCATGCCCTTATTGAACAACACTGGACTAACGGTCAATTAAAATGCAATAAAACAGCATTACATTTACAAGCATATTTCTATCTTTTAAGCTTATTGTGTTCTCAGCACATACTAAAAAATCACAAAATGGCTACCATTGGTTATAACACTTAGCATAATCTCCCTTTATGACTGCTTCCATTTGTTTCATATTTGGATATTTGACTGAATATAGACATACCTAGCTAAATAACAGACAAGCGGGATGTTCTGGCTTTTCAGTGGTAAACATGTCTCCCAAAGTATTCAGCATGCTTTTAGTACGATTAACTTTTTTTTAAAAGTGAAGGAAAAAAATGATGATATCATTAGACATAATAGAATGACATAATATCTCATGCGAACGACATACCTTGGATATATTTCCTAAAAGGTGAAGATAATGAACAGTAATGGTTTAAAAATATCCACAAACAATACAATTCTGCTAACAGGGCAAAAAAGGACCCCTGAAAATTGCAGAGGTGGGATCAGGTGCCTAGAAAGAGTAAACATCCCCTGTTGCCCCGTCACACTCTCCATAAACCCTATGAACAGATCAGGTAAACGTGACATTCCGTTGTCGATATTAGTATAAAAGCAAAAGCAAATTGACCCAATTACAGTTTATATTTGTTGACAGTGTCATTGATACGACCAATTAATTTACGAAATGCTGACTTTAAACGAGGTTGTTGAAACCCCTGTAACATCAACCTACATGTATCTGTCAGTAGCCTGCCTCGATTTAAAAATTAATCGTGCTCTTGGGTATCGAATAAGTTGGTAGACATAAACATAATATGCAAATGATAGCGGAATATTACTACATAAATAAGGAAAGTTGACGATGGAAAAAGCCGAAGTCATCCCGTTTGTCAGACAATTTATTTGTTAGTTGGTCTTTATCATCTATAGTCAGAAGAACGTCCAAATATGAAGCAGACGTGGCAAACATAAGAAGGACATAAATTTCTGCATGTCTCATACACAATCGTATAATGTGCATTCATTTTTATTTTTAAATAGTGGTCTATGGGAATTTCTTTTCAAATATGTAGAAGCAATAAAGAAGAATCCCAGTATAATTCCCAGTATAATGTACATTCAAGTCTGTTAACATGGTCGTCTAAGAATAGGATAAATACATGTAAGAGGAATAAATTTTTTTTAAATCCACTTTAAAACAGTGATACATTGTCACATCAATATGGAAACATTTCAATACAGTGTATATTGAAGTACATTTTTTTCCCAATTTATCATTGAATATAGACCATTTTATTGACTTTCCAGATAAACATAAGGATTTATTTTTCCTACACTGAACTAAAAATGGATTGAAATCAATTCTGAAAAGTTATTTCACCTGCATCCGAATTCCACTCTAGTGGACATAATATTCAGGCACAAAGAATCAGAGAAGAGGGAGGTATACCCCCCCCCCCACTTTTTTCTGAATGTAAATTTTAGCAATTTATAGTTTGAAAAAGTTCATTTAAAGTCTTGTAAACAGCCCCTCTTTTTTATATAGTATAGTTAAAAAAAATCTCCTACTTTAGTTGACAATGTGAACATAACATTCAGGCGCATAGAATCAGTGGTGGGGTGGGGTGTCCTCCCCCTTCCATTTTCATGAACGTAATTTTTAATTTTTTTCGCTTGAAAATGTTCATTGCAAGTTTGGTTGCCCTACCCTTAACTTTTTGATAGGGTAGAGTAAAAGGAAATCCCCCTTACATCAATAAACTTTTTTAGGGGTTCATCAAAGATATTTCTAAGATAACTTGTCATTTTTGCCTCTTATATTGCCCATTTCCCTTTCGATGCCATGCCTGACATGCTCAGGTTAGCATTTTGGCCAACATGACTCTTGATTTATTTTTCTTTCTTTTTGCCCATTAAAAATTTCAACTTTAATATACAAGGGGTCATTATTCTACGGGGATCATTTTTCGTCATGTAGGGTGTGCAGATTTTTAGGGTGACACTTTTTCTACGGGCAAAAGGTTCATTTTTCGACGCCAAATAATGACCAGGGGTCATTTTTCGCCGTTGAATAATGACCGGGAGTCATTATTCTATGGCGAAAAATGACTCCCGGTCATAATTCTATGGGGGTCACTATTCGTCTTTACACCGGCCTAAGAATGACAATTTCCATACAAAATTAACGGCAAAAGAGGGGTAGGCCCTCTTCTCTTACTACGTGTATGTACCTGTAGACATTTCTTTTTAAAGATCGGTTTTGCGTCAGGAAAAGGCTTAATTTACAGTATTTATACTAGCTTTAAAATTGGTGCATAGGATTTTAAAATTGCATATCATCGATGTCCTTTTTCAGTGCAACCCCAAACCAATACTTTCCGTGGTTTAATCAATTAAATTCGACGTCATATCACTAATCGTGCTCCATTAATAGCAGACCTAGTTTTTGTATTCATTTGAAGCTCTTGTTGTGGCCTTCAATTCAACATTTAGATATATCGACGACGTTTTATCAATTCACAATATTCATTTTAATTCCTGCGTTGATTCGAAAAATCCCTTTGAACTCGGAGTATAAGATACAACAGAGTATGTCAGATGTTTCATATTTGGATATTTATTTAGAAAAAGACGTTAAACGTAACCTTACAACAAAATTTTATGGTAAACGTGATTACTTCCAATATTTCTATCGTCAACTTCTGGCCTTCAATTCAACATTTAGATATATCGACGACGTTTTATCAATTCACAATATTCATTTTAAATCCTGCGTTGATTCGAAAAATCCCTTTGAACTCGGAGTATAAGATACAACAGAGTATGTCAGATGTTTCATATTTGGATATTTATTTAGAAAAAGACGTTAAACGTAACCTTACAACAAAATTTTATGGTAAACGTGATTACTTCCAATATTTCTATCGTCAACTTCCCTTATATAGCAATAAATCATTATCACCTGAATTTTATGTCTCCAAGTTGATTCGATACGCAAGAGTATGCTATATGAAGGAACAATTTCTAAAAACGAGGCCAGCTATTGACAAATAAGTGGATGGTAAATTCATATTTTTAAGATTAATTTAGACTAAACTTTATGTTTAGTCTGATAATGATCTTCAAAAATATATAAATATCAAAATATAAGGTGATAAAATATCATTATGTTAACCATATTAGAAGATAATCTAAAGAGACACTTCCTTTGATTAAATGAACATCTTCAATGTGGATATATCCTCTTTATTCATCTTATACTTATTATGCCCCCGTATATAGTTATATAAAGGGTATATAGTTTTTGCCCTGTCCATCTGTCTGTCTGTTTCTCCGCAAAAACTTTAACCTTGCCCATAACTTTTGATTGGTTGGAGCCATGACTTTTATATTTCACATATGTATTTCTTGTGACAAGACCTTTCTTTAGATACCATCATATATGACCTTTTGACCTTGACCTTGGAGTTTGACCCACTTTTGCAAAATTTTATGAGACTTTAACCTTGGCCATAACTTTTGAACAGTTGGTGCTTGGGCTTTCAAACTTCACATGTCTATTCCTTGTGACTAGACCTTCCTTTGGATATCAACTGCTTTGATCCTTTGACCTTGACCTAGGAGTTTGACCTTGTTTTGAAAAACTTTAACCTTGGCCATAACTTTTGAATTATTGGTGCTTGGGCTTTCATACTTCACATATGTAATCCTTGTGTCAAGACCTTCCTTTGGATACCAACAACTTTGACCCTTTGACCTTGGAGTTTGACCTACTTTAAAAAAAACTTTAACCTTGGTCATAAGATGTGAACGTTTGGTCTTGGGCTTTCACATTTCACAAACATGTGTATCACTTGTGACAAGACCTTCCCTTGGGGCCCATTTGACCTTGACCTTGATGTTTTACTTACTTTTAAAAAAACTTTAACCTTCGCTATAACTTTTAAACAGCTGATGCTAGGGCTTTCAAATTTCACAGGAATATTCCTCGAGACAAAACCTTTCTGTGGGTACCAATATTTTTTTTTATCTCTTGACCTGGAGTTTGGCTTGCATTTGAGAAACTTTAAACTTCGCCATAAGCTGCCATACGAGGGCATCAGCGTTTCATAAACATATCTTGTTATTTTAAAAATGAACAGGAACATACTTACAAAAAGACTTCAACTCAAAGAGAAACAGAAGTTCCAGACATAATGACTTCCTAATTGGACACAATTCTCTCCTTTTCACACTGTCCTTTTAAATTGGACGCTGTCTCAGCATTCTTTTCGTAAATACAAAACATCTTTCATGCATAATATTTAATCGTCAAAATTTAATATAAATATGCAAAAATGGTTCATATTGCACTAACTCAAAATGAGGTCATTTTTATAAAGCTAAAATATTACAAAAGCATTTTAAAATCAAGAGGGTATTAAAAGCAACCCAACATATAACTTGCTTAATTGTACAATAATTGTGTTGAATAGTTTCATTGACACATGTATACATACCTTGTTAGACAAGTATTTAATAATATTCGAAAACGAACTAAACATGGTAAAACAAATGATTCAAACATTTATACATTTTCGGAAGAACAATTTTAAACATTTAAATCTAGAATGAAAAGAAGCATAATAATCTACGTTAAGTATTTTCATCTAAGAGGAGGAAAAGAGGGCAAGAGCTATAATCCCCAGTTGACCCCAAACCAGTTTCAATAAAGATAAATACTTTTAAAAAAAGTGAAGCGTGGAAAATAGTTTGCATTTTTAAGAGATGGCATTTTCAAAAATGTTGTCATAATTTTTATATAACTAGAAAGGTACACATTTACCGAGTTAGTCAGTAATAACCTTAATAATTAATAACTCAAAGGGAAATATTAAACATATGAGACAAAAGTTGTTTCAAGACCAATGTGTATATCTTCCAAAATGCTGTCAGAGGGACTAAAATATTTATTCTTACAAAGGTATAAATGTAATAAAAATATCTGACATCATTTCAAAAATGTATACATGCAGAGAGACATATAGACGAAGAATTATTTTTCCACATGTCTATCCTTGCAAATGATGTACAACTGGTATCTTTATAATCTTTATAATCTACTAACTGCCATTGTGTATAATAAGAAATGCAGAAAGGGTGATAAATACGCTTTAAAAATGGCAAGGATAATGTTCATGAAAGGACAATTCACTCTCTCTATAATTTATTACTATCTCTATAATTTACATATGAGGAGGATGTGCATCTTTGTACCAATTTTGATCGAAACCATCTTAAATTTTTTTGATAACATTACGAAACCGTTAGACAAACCCACTTTATGATATACAGACGGACAATCAGATTAACAAAAAAATCGTCTCAACTGTGTAGACGGGTGACTAACAGACATATGTTCTCTCTATCTTTGCCTCAAACATTCAACCTACAGATGTAATTAAGAAATATCGACAAAAAAGAAACCTATGTAGAATTAATTGGACATTTCTTTTCGGAATGTATTGAAAACAGATAAAATTTGAGAAAAATGTATTATGACCATATTCATACTTCTCATGTTCACATAAGAAGGCAAGGACAGGCCAAGGTGACAAGATGGTCTTTATGCTAGGATCTTTTGGTGAGTACAATTATAGCTATCACTACTGCAATCACTACCAGCACGGTAATAACTATTATAGCAATGGTCAGACGACGGTTAGAGAGTCTATAGCGTCCAGCCAGAGCCTTATTAACTGCCTTCATATTATCTCGGTATTGCTGCGTCTGGAATTTGAAACAAGAATTATTAGTAATTGTTCAGTATTCATTATGAGTAAGAAATAATAACTATTACTTATCATATACTTAATAAATACAGATTCCATACTCTGTGCAATTTGGTTCAACTCATAATACACGATATTAAAGAATAGTCCGCGTCGATAACCCATATTACATAGGAAAGCGAGAATGGCTTCAAAAGTACATATCAAAATTATAATTTTTTGTTATATTCATGTAATACGATATATGTACTAAAATTTAATGATTTTACAAGTGTTAAAAGGATCTCAAATTGGTTTAATTTTTCTTTCTAAAACATGTCATATACATGCACCTTGCATGTACATGTACACTTTTAGTTGACTTAAAAATGCAAATATATTCACAAATATATGACAAATTTACGCTAAATAAAATACAACATACTACAATTCATATTTTATGTTATATCAGCCCAGGTAGTTGATATAACACTTTATATGGCTTTTTAAAAACATTCTATCTTAAACACATTTAAATAATATTTTTGAAAAGAAAAAAAACCAATGCCAATACTACTCTTCTTCGTCACGTTTTCCTTTTTACGAACTGCATCTTTTTAATAAAACATAGTGGTTCGTGTTTTTGCACTGTTCACGATTTGGTTTGTTTACTGGATTTATGAATTTCATAACTTTTCGTTTTTTTTTCAACTTTTACATTATTAACGCCAATAAAATACGTTTTAAAAATTCACAATTTGGATAACTTGGATTGCGGTATGCTAGTGAAACATGTTAGCGTATTGTTCTAATCGTTATTCCAAACAAAATTATACAAACAAAACAAACACAACAATACAAACACAACAAAACAATCTCATGGGCAACGGAGTCACCTTGACCCTGCCGTTCTTATGGGGACGATTTTGAAAATGATTTCTTTTCCTCTTTTATTCCCAAGGGAAAAAAATGAACCCATATTATGGCCCCTTTCCAATCTCAAGCGTAATGATTTATAGTACTCTGAGTTCACATATATTAAAATTGATGTAAAAATTTATCCCCTATCTTTGTAGCCTAACCCGATCCTTATAACCCATAATATGAAAAGATAATGAATCCACGCTATTAAGAATATTAGCATAGAATAACAATTTGATTAAGTGTGGCCCTGCTATTCTGAAAAGATTTTCTATTCTCCTATTTTTTTCCATGTTGAACCCTGATCCCCTTTTGGGGCTATGATTTGGACAAACTTAAATTCCTGCTGTCTGAATTATAATGTATACATATAATGTATTTCAATTATTAAACATTGCCGAGTTGTTCTTGAAAAGAGATTTTAAAGACTTTTTTCCTTATCTAAATCCATATAAATCTTTGATCCCTATAGTAGTCCAACCTATCCCCGGGGGTCATGATTTGAACAAACTTGAATTAGCTTGATGCTTGCATAATAATATGACTCACCGTGGACAAGCTAATGTTAAGAAAAGGATATTCAAAGAATGCTTAAATAAAACTGATCCTCTGCTGTGGCCACATGCGACCCCTGGGAGCCATGATTTCAACAAACTTGAATCTTCGAGTTATCAGGATGCTTGCATTTTAATACAATAATTAATCATATGTTACTGCTGTTGCCGGCTAGATTTTTTCCTTACATTTCTCTGTAAAACATTGATACCTACTGTGGCTCAACCTTTCTCCCGAGGTCATGAATATTATAAGATTGATATTCCGGTTAGAGTTATAATACTGTTTTGTTGTACTAAGTAACTCCATCCTAGCCTTAGTGTCAATAATATCTTATCCGAGTATGCCTTGTGTAAAACTTTTCAAAAGGAGGAGGGCGTAAACTAATAAATATGTAAGAATAAAAAGGGTATCTTTCCATTTGTGAAAAGTGTTCACCCTCTCTGTATATTCTGAACAATTACTCAGGGCTCAGGGAACAATTTCAAATATTATCAATACACAGTCAGATTGCTGATGAGCATTTCATAAGAGTTGAAAAAGATTAAAACATTCTAAGATTAATCAACCTGGACGTTATAGGCCTAATTGAAGGCCGTCGTTAAACAATGCGAACTTTTAGGTTTATTATCGGGATTGAGAAATTGTCTATTAAAAGAATTAATTACGCAATGTTTTGGTTACACTAGTATTTGAAATGTATTACTTGGTAAATGAAAGAAAAGTAAATACAGTGCCGAATTTATGCTTAAACGAATTTTATCAAAAGCACATTTCCAGAACAAATTCACCAACGCCACTAGCTATACGTTTTGACGTCGTCAGTGTTGCGCTGACAATTGAGTTGTAAGATTCGTTTACCAGAGAGGGAAATGTTAATTATAGTGATATTTCATTGAAATTTTTATGCAATATTCAAAAAGTGTTGATCATGATGTATACCAATTTTTAACTTTATAGTATAGTGAAAATGTTCGCGTATTTCTGGGACAACCCTCGTTCATATGTAAAGGTACAAAAGATGCTTTATCGTATACAATTTCTATTCCTAATTCTCAAAATAAAAAGAAAAAAAGATTAACAGACAAAAAGGACTTTAACCTTGCAGTGACGACAAACTGAATCTCATTCGATCCAATCTCTTGTCTGTCCTTTTGTTGAACTGCAAACCATTTCTAATTCCAGAATCAATATAATAATAATACAGCTTGAATTTGAGAAGACAATATAAATGTATATAAAGGACCTTTTGTACACCTGACACTTTTGATAGAAAACCAGCGATTTATTTCCCAAATAACTGTGTGGCAATTACCTGGCTGTACTCTTTCAAACTACAGGTTTCCTTTGTGATTATTCATCACCAAAAGAAAAATAGTCTGAGGTAAGAAATGCTTTTAGCCAATCCATACTTAAATTTAAAGTTGAAAATATCTCAAAAGTTGTAATATATTTTTTGTTCATATAAAGAAATCTGAACTTGATTATATGTATTATAATGTCTGAGATCGTTAGATGACGTAGATCACGTAAGCAGGAGAAATCCTAATGCAAAATTATAAGATTGGTTGTTTTGTAAGAAAAGAGAATTCTGTTAAGTTTCGATCTGTCTCTATATCTACTTAACATACCTAGAATTTAAATCAAAATATAAAATCTATATTTTTTTATCACTATGTCACTAACACTCCTACATGAGCGTTGTAAGCAAATTCTGTTATTAAGTTTGGATTTGTGTCCAAGTTTGGATTTGTGTCCATATCAACTTTATTTGAGAAAAAAAAAATTTATCGGGATGTAAATACGTGATCAACTCTACCATAGAGCCCGAAGAGCTTCATGGGATTTGATCACATGACCAACCCAAATTTACATCCCGATAAAAGTTTAAAATGATACCTTATTACTTATATTTACATTTGTGACTGATTTATTACAAATAATTGGGTCCTAGGGTTTTAAACCCATAAATTGATTTATTTTTTAAAACCTCAACGGTATAAATTGAATGTGCTGAGCGCGTCGATCACTTATGACGTCACTATGAAATTAAGTAGCTCGTTTAGGACAATCAATTTATGGTCACATGACGAATCTGTTTTTACACAGGTGTAAAAATGATTTGTTCAAATAGTGTTACTTAAGGGAAAACATTTGCAAATGTAAATACATGTATATATATACAAGTATAATTCTAAAGGTATATAAACTTTTCATTTTTTGTTCATTAAACCACTAACTCTTCTACATGAGCGTTGTAAGCTCAAGGAACTAAAACTAGTCATTAAACCTAGGTATAAGCCTTGGAATGCTTTCTATAGGGAAAATTCTAAAATCAAAATATCTATTTGTACCTGATTTGCCAGATTTTCAGTGGAAGCTGCCAAATTCGATAACTTGTCTTTTCTTTCATGCAAGAGTTCGATATTATCATTATGGCTGGATTCGTTGTTGTTTTTGGTTCTTGTGACATGTATCTTCGGAGACTTTGGCTGTAAAAAAGAATATATATATATATATATATATATATATATATATATATATATATATATATATATATATATATATATATATATATATTTATGGGTACCTGATTAAACATAATCTCCTTTTCAAAGACAACACATAACATTCAGTAGAGGAATAGAAGAGGTAATTAATGACAGGATAATCAAACAAGTCATGTATATGTAAACACAAATAAGACAGCGCAAAACATACTAAACATAGTCCTCAAACAATTATGACAAAGCAAAACATACTAAACATAGTTATCAAACAATTATGTAATATTTATCAGAAATATGATGTACATAATAAAAGTATTTCTCTGAAGTAGGCTCAATATTCTTACATAATATACAGAATGTGATTGAAAGATGGGGCACAACCGCCATAATACTAATACAATCAAGGTTACATTTTATTGGATAAATTGTTTACACAAAAAATGTTCAAAAAATGATGGAGGTGGGGTGGGTGATGGTTACTTATTTTCTTGGGGAATTCCTCTGTAAATTAATAAAAATGGCGACTGACGCTAGAAACTGCGCATGCGCAAAGGACACATACGACTTTTCTATTTAAAGAAAAGGTGCCAAAAACAAAATAGCAAGAATCAATACCCATAAATGTTTTATTATTATAAACCTGTTTTATGGGTACCTGATTAAACATAACCTCCTAATTAAAGACAACACATAACATTCAGTAGAGGAATAGAAGAGGTCATTTATTTAGTAAAATAAATGACAGGATAATCAAACAAGTCATGTACATGTGTATGTAAACACAAATAAGACAACACAAAACATACTAAAATTAAATTGCATTCACAAGGCAGTTAGTGCAAAGTAGACTAATGCGCAATTTTTTCAAAAAAAAAAAAGAAAGATTTCTAGACAGGTTATTCAGTAAGGCTATTATGATGTCATTTGCAAATCACGTCACCTGATGCAGAGCAGATCCATTTGAATAATGTCAAAGTTTCTGTACACATTCTTGGAGATTACCATATTTATGACTACTTAATTGAATATTCGGGGGTATATAGTTTTTGCCATGTACGTCCGTCTGTTTGTCAGCAAAAACTTTAACATTGCCCGTAACTTTTGATTGGTTTGAGCTACGGCTTTCGTATTTCACATGTATATTCTTTGTGACAAGACCTTCCATTGGGTGCCAACATATTTGATATCTTGACCTTGACCTTGGAGTTTGAACCACTTTTGCAAAAATTTACCCAACTTTAACCTTGGCCATAACTTTTGAACGGTTAGTGCTAGGGCTTTCATATTCCACTTGTATATTCATTGTGACTAGACTTTTCCATGAGTGAAATTGTTTTTGTCTTTTGACCTTGACCTTAGAGTTTGACCCACTATTAAAAAACTTTAACCTTGGCATTAACTGTTGAACAGTTAGCACTAAGGCTTTCAAATTCCACAGGTATATTCCTTGTAACAAGACCTTTCTTTGCGTACCAACAATTTTGACCTTCTGACCTTGGAATTTGACGTTATTTTGAAAACTTTAACCTTGACCAGAACTTCTGAACAGTTGGTGCTAGGGCTTTTATATTTTATATGTGTATTTCTTATTACAATGTCTTCCACTGCATACCATTAATTTTAACCCTTTGACCTTGAACTTGGAGTTTGACCCACTTTTAGAAAACATTAACCTTGACCAACTGTTGAATGGTAGGTGCTTGGGCTCTCATATTTACCAGGTACTAGTATATCCATTGATACAAGTCCTCTCTTTGGGTAACAACATTTTGATCTCTTGACCTTGGATTTTGATTTGAATTTGAGAAACTTTAACCTTCACCATAAGCTGCCATACGGGGGCATCAGTGTTTTACAAGCACATCTTGTTTTCTATGTTTTTACTCAGAAATAGCATAGGTGCCTACATCTGATCACCGGCATGTGGCATGTGACATAATTTTGTCATTATGCGTACGTCAGAATTTAATTCGAATTAGCTTCGCTTAACGTTCACAGAATTAATTCGCAGTAACTAACGTTTAATTCGAATTTAACTTTCCGTGTGAACAGTGCATAAATTGGCTAATTATTGTTCCGCAATTTGAAAACAGTTAAACTCTATTTAATATCAAAACATTTAAAGCTTGCCATAAATATTATTTATACAATTTTGTGCAAACAACAAATCCAATCATGAAATAAATACACATTAGATCAAGGTAGACATAAAAAAAAATATCAAAGTACGCACACATCTCTATTCCTAATTACATGTATATATGATAATTTGATCCACTTCAGATGATGGTACAATCTTAAGCACCAATAGACAAGTTGAAAATGAATAAAAATCTCTCAATTTTTGAATTTGAACTCATAATTACTATTCAGTAGTATATTTTTATTTATTTTTTTTAGTAACTAAGTGAAAAATATTTAGTCGATATTCGGCATGACAGAGCAGAAGTCTAAATAATAATCACGGAAGAAAATTGAAATAGGATATTGACTGTAAACAGATTTTTTAAATGCATAACATATCATATAGACGAAGAACCAATTTTCAATTGCAAAATGAGATAGTACAAATTATTCTATTTAACATCATTATTTTTATGGAAATGGATTCTATTCAGGTCTAAAGTAAAATTATAACTGACATTTACAGAACTATACCCCTATTTACTTCCCAAACTAAAGAGGCGCGGCGAAAGAGCGAACGAGAATCGAAGGGCTTCTCGAACCCCTACCACTAGGCTACTGTGACCGGTCGACCAATCTGAAACTCAGAACAAATCTTTGGTAACTCAAAATTATTTTTTAAAAAAATTTCATATTTTAAATTTATTTGAAAATATATTAACATATGTTTCATCCTAGTAACTTTTTTTGTTTTTGAAATGTTAACGAAATTCTGACCAGCTGCCATTGTTGGTAACAAACTGAGTTACCATGCCTACTTTGTTATGGACAATCAATCCTTTAAGATCTGCTGTTTATTGTTTTCGTGATTACCCGGGAAATTACTCTTATTGGATGACAGCTGCCCATTCTATTATCATAACTGTATGTATTATGCACATTGCCTTCTACTCATTACCGGTTTCTCAAACATTGAGAGATCATTTAAGGGTTTCTTTCGTGCTATCTAAGTGGCTGAAAATTAGTAATTGACTTTGTTTTTTCTGGCCTTATCGCCCCCCCCCCCCCTTTAAAGTGTATCTTGATAATTCTGAGGTTTTTTGTTTCCTACATTGTAAACTATCTAAAAAATTGAAGATGGTTATGTTTTTCTCTACATTCAATAATTCAAACAATATAGTAATTCATAATAAAATTTCTAACACAATGGGTGCGCACTATTGTTAAAATTAGCCAGCACGAAGGCTATTTTTCAAATATACTTTTATGGCTGCTCAACTGACTTTAATGTTTATCATCTGTTCACTCATATAATAATGAAATGAGTTAAGATAATGAACAGTAATCGATTCAAAAAAAGAAATACAAACAAAACAAATCTATGAACAGGGCATAAACCACGACCTTGGACGTTCCCGAGTTGGGATCATGTGCCTAAGAGGAAAAAGCATCCCCTCTCGACCGGTCACATCCACCGTAAGCCCTATGTATTGATCAAGTAGACCGTATAATCCGTAGTCAATTTAGTATAAAAACAAAAGCCTTACAATTTGGTATGAAATATGTCAGTCACTAACAAGGTCATTATAATGACCATGGAATTAATGAAATGATGCTTTAAACTAGGTTGTTGAAATCCCTGTAACATCAACTTATTTGTCAATGGCCTGCCTCGGTTTAAAATGTTTTCTATTAGAGCATGATCTTGAGTCTTATATAAGTTAGGAGACATAAAACCATAGTGTTATATTTCTGCATAAAAAATCAATACTAAAGATTTTCCAAATGCAATTGATATTCAAAATTCACACAATTGTATCTTACTTGCGGGTGAAAAATTTGACAGAATTGGTCGTTTAACTTTATAATTTTATGAATGAATTAGAGTCAGTTAATTATCCCTGTTAGAGATGCTTGAATTTCTCTTATCACTTATCAGAGGGTCATTAAACCTCAAATGACTTTTTGAAGAAAATTTACCTTGTGGATTTCAATGATCTCAAATCCTTCATCTGTATCTTTAGTCTGCAAAGATTTTAATAGTTATGAATCAAGCACACATGAATTCAAAACAATAATAACATATCATTTGTGACTTATTTTGTGCTCTTTGTGTTAATGAACAATGATATAAAAGGATACGTTTCGACAGCACACTTAAATTCGACTTATTGCAAATTCAGAAAAATGTTTTATAAAAAAAATCTTCCCTTCACCTTCGTATGATACTTACAGAAGCATGGTTCGGGGGGGGGGGGGGGGAGGGGGGCATATATACCTTGAACAATTTTGAAAATGATGCTTAACAGCATAGCAAGACACTAAGATACGATATTAATCGCTATACGTGTAATCATATTATGGTGGATGCAGACATGTACATTTGAATTTTATTTTGTAATTAACCCAATGGGCGGATTAAGAAAAAAATTAGTGAAATTTAGAGCAGAGGGATATTTCACCTTAAGAGAGAGTCATGATCAACTTTATGCTATTATACTTATTTGAACACCAAGAACTGTAAGCTTCTGCTGTCATTTAATTTTATCAAACGTTTGGCATCCCCTTAAATTCTAAAATCCTGGATCCACGTGCACTTCTTAAAAGTGATCAGGGTAAAATAATCAATCAAAAACCGGATGTTATGTAGTGGAATTTAACTTTTCATTTCAATATCTTCGAACCGCCAATATGGCTGAAATATTGCCGACTCGGCGTTAAACAATAACAATCAATCAATCAATCAATCAATATCTTCGACTTGATCCATCTAACCCCTAAACCTGACACCCATTCATTCGTGCGTAACGTGCATGAATTTTCAAGTCTGTCTTTAGTTGATTTTAATATGTTTTAATACGCTCTGATAGTATATATACTGCTGATCTTTTTGAAAGGTTGGATATTAAAATAAAACAGAATTTATATGACTCTCTTTTAAGCAAAAAAAAAAAAAGGGGGGGGGGGCATGCTTTATTTGTCAGTGCTTTAATTTCACAATACGAAATGTTTTAGCCAGCAACATTCTGGTTAAAGAGCCATGGCTTAAAACAACAACAACAACAACAAACGGTACTCTTCCTGTTATTGAAGATCTGGAAAGATAAACGGAGGGCAATTTTTCAGTTTCTCTACAATAAGCTGTAATATTATCTTACAATTTTAAAGGTCACTGTCAAATATATTAACATCTTACAATAACTACAGAAATATATATTCCGTGGCAATCGTTATATCTTGATGTTTATTTTTAATTCAAAAGGTTAAAACTGTAACTATGTGTATAATAATTCATTGATAATACATCAATTTTCCAACGTATATCAAGAGAAAGTTCGATATTTTGGAGTCATTATGGGCAATGTATTTCATCAAATTAACCGTAACTGGTTCTATCCGAAAAACTTTTCTGAATCATTTACTAAACCCCGTATCAGCGGTTTGATATATCTTGCATACAAGCTCACAGACAATCACGGATGAATATACAACATCTGAACTATGTTTTCAGGACATTTAATTAATGCATTAATTTTTATCCATTATAATAATAATATAATCGAGGACAAGGTTGGTGTGTTGGATTAATTAAGAGAAGTCTATGTTACCTGTATTTCTATCATCTCGATTTCATCTTCCGATTTTGTCTGTAAACAGAAAATGACCATAAAGTATGTAGCATGCGAGATAACTCTGATACATTCCCACAGTATTATAAATTAGTCTTAAAAAAGAGTTTTTTTTAAATTTAAAAATGGTAATATGTATTACAGAAACGCAAGATATTATAAAGATATTGTATGTATAGTTGAGGGCAACACTGAATATTATCACCGAGACGCCGAGGTTGGCAATGGTGTCGAGGATGAAAATTTTCAATGTTTAATACCCTCAACTACATGCGATATTTATTACATTAAACTGAATGTTTTATGCAACTAGATATAACAGTGAACGGTGCCCGCACAAATTTGCAGTCAACTATTTTTTTTTTTTTTGAGAATCACCCATCTTCACGCAATTTTGACTTTTGCTTTACGCTTTATCACGCTGGAGGAAGTGGTTTCATCATTCAGAGGGTAATATATTTTTCTATCAAATGTTTCTCGGCGAATCATATTAAACTAATGTACATGAAAGTATAATATATAATATCTTTTAAGCCGTTTGCGCAGTTTTCATATATTTATATTTCTTTTCCAATAAAAAAGGATTGTAATTTATATCTAACGTGCATCGATCGCTTAGAGATGGCAAACTGATACAAGTTCAAATAAACGATTAAAAAAAAAAAAAAAAAAAAAAAACCTTGCTTACGGCAACATATGTCTCGCAAATCTTCACCATGGCAAGTAGAAATTAAAATCAATGCTTTATACGGCGTTAGTGTTTTTACGTTCAGCGATCAAGCCCTATAAAAACATTATCAACGTCTTTAAAAGATATACATGTAAAAACCAAGATGGCCTTTGTTTAAATATGTAAAAAGTACATGTCGTATTAACCGATCAAATACACGTTTACAATTCTATCTTAACGGATCTTAAAACACGACAATTGCTCCAATGCCGTAAATACTAATTGTTTTCACTTTCCAATCGATTCCTTGACTATTGCAAACGCACATCTGTTTGCAAAAATCTATAATAATTGTATTCTCCAATATAACGTTGTTGTATTATTAATACAGCTATCATGCAATGCAAATGTCACGATATCGCAACGGCATTACAGTATTACATGTACATAAATATTACAGAAATTTACCAAAATTAAACGAATTTCCCTCTTAGAATATAGGGAAAAAAGCAATGAAAAGAAAACTGAGGAAAAATGTTAACTGGTGCTATAAATGTGAAAGTGATATGCATAACATAGAATTCCCTTTCTTATCTGAAATAGACTTCAAATGGACAATGGCTTATGACTGATTAGCTACCAATGAATGGAATGTTGATGAAATTTGCCCTAGGCCTTAAACTAACCAAAAAAGAGAGCGATGAACTTTAGTATTTTTCAAGTTGAACGATGAGACACATACATTTTGGCCTACTTAGTTCGTGCTATCTAAGGGAAGTTACTCCGACACAGATATTTTGGATCACTTATCGATTATGAGAAATGTAAAGACGACATAAACAAATCATACTTACCTTGTGTAAAGCCATATTCTGGATTTTTTTTCACTGGTCTCCCGCATTCCGGGGCCCAATACTTCCTCTCCCGACCCCGACGGGAACTCTTTGTAGTGAACAGACGATACGATCAATTTCCTCACGTGACAGATCACTGCATCTTGGAGTGGGGCTCCAGATCTGAGTCGTATGTGTGGATACGGTTGACTGTCTTCCACTATAGCTGCGACTTGGTATGAATATGTTATCTGATTGTCCTTCCGCATTAAATGTCGCACTGACTTTTTTTTCATCAATAAATTTATTTACATATTAAATGATCTAAACGAAAACTTTCATTGATTTAAAAGTATTCATTCTGGTTTAGGTAAAATGTTTAATAGTAAATAAATAAAACTAGTATAAAGCCCTTTTACCTTAATTAAAAGGTAAAAGGGCTTGTTCTTTGTATTTGTACAAGGTACATGTATTATCTTCCGTCGTTATTCTGTACATATATCAGTCTTCCTGATAAGAAATACAAAAAGCAGGTGTTTTGTTTACCTTATGGCTGACTACAAAAAAAGACTTCATAATTGATAGCCTTTAACTTGAAACTTATAAATTTCAATTTATTTTTACAAAATGCTTGAAAGAGAATTGGTTATGCATGCAAGATATGTATCCTTTTATATATAGTAAACAAAGCGATTACTTTCCTTCTTGCAAATTAAAATGCTATATATAAATTATCATTCATATATACATTTAGTGTAGCGAGGGTAGAACTTCTTTTATGTCGTTATTTACCTTGTTACAACGCGAAATGTAATAATGTTCAACGCAAACTATGATAAATGAAACATAAATTATGGAGATAACGAACAGTATTCAAGCTCAAAAGTCTATTAAACAATACAAAATAGGAGCAGAGCAAACACGGACCTCCAAACATCAGAGGTGGGATCAGGTGCCATGGAGGAGTGAGCATCCCCTGCCGACTGGTCACACCCGCCGTGTGCTCCTTGTAATGATCGGGAAATAACGGAAAAATCCGTCGACAATTCAGTGTGTAAATAATGGCCTAACAATTAGTATGAAAAACATCAGTCAGCATTTGACTCAATGATAAGTTGTATTTGATGACAAGGTCATTGTATCGACCATAGAACTTACGATATGATGACTTTAAACGAGACAGTTGATATTCTTGTTTCATCAACTTGTTTGATCCAACTAATTGTTTACATAAACATAATTGTACATAAACACTGATTTTCCCATATTGCACCAAACTGTGATTATTACGTTTTGTGTTATTATATTCGAGATCAATGCAGAATGTCATTATTATAACGTAAAGTGTAAAAACACGATTTCTGTATTATTACATTTTGCGTCTAGATTAAAGCAAATTGTAATAACTCACTTTTTTTCCAGTGGTGTAAATTTTCACTATAATACTTTTTTGTAAATTAATTGAATCTGATTAGTCGATAAACATGTTTCAAAAACATGACTACCCTCTGAATGATGAAAAAATGTAGTAACAGTCGACATTGCTTGACGACGGGTGACATTCCAAAAACTGTTGACCACTCAGAATTTGTGCGGGTACTGTTTACTATTATATGTATTTTTATAAAATATAATATTTGAATAATATATATGTATATGTATAATATAATTACTATTACATATAGTTGAGGATAATATTTAAAATATCCATTCCTTGAAAACCATTGTCAACCTCAGGTGGGCCACGTTTTTTTTCGGGGGAGGTGGTGTGAAAATCCTTTAAAAATTGTTTCCTTTATAACTTTACACTACAAAAAGTATATACATTTCCAAATTTTTACCGAGAGGTAAAAAAAAAATCGATGTTGGACGGCTTGATGAGATGTTGGACCTGTTGATGAGATGTTGGATCGCTATGACATTTTTTACGTCTCTCGTAGGTGGGATCAGCTATTATCTTACTTTCGGAATAGACCACGTTAAATACTCAGTAAACAAAATTTACATAAAAATCTGTCGTATTCATCGAAAACATTGAAGCCAGCACAAGATATGTGTTTATGATAAAACGCTGATTCTCCCATATGGCAGCTCAGGGCCAAGGTAAAAGCTTTTTTTTCAAATGCTGGTCAAACGTCAAGATAAAGAGTTCAAAAATTTTGGTACAAAAGAAATGTGCACATATGGTCATATGTGGAATACACATGTGAAATGTAAAATCCCAAGCACCAACCGTTCAAAAGTTATGTCTAAGGTTAAAGTAAAACCTTGCAAAAGTAGGTTAAACTCAAATTTCAAGGTCAAGAGGTAAAAAAATGTTTGTACCAAATCCAACGAAAGGTCTTGTCACAAGAAATACACTAGTGAAATTTGAAATCCCTAGCACAAACTATTCAAATTTTATGGACATGGTTAAAGTTTTTGCGAAAAAAAAAACCCAGACATACAATGGCTGCTCTTACCAGGGGTACGCTGTGAGGTTAAATGTGCGTATTTTCCAGTATTCTTGGGGTAATTTTTGTATTTTAGGGTAAACACCTCAATAACAGGATTTATTCATACTTGATGTGACTGTGCGAGGTTAAAAAAAAATAATTATAGACTTAACCCCATAACGATTTTCAGACATGTTATGGACTTGTTTATAGTAGGTATTCCGCGCAGCCGACTCTTTTTTTTTTTAATACCACACGTCGACAATTAATGTTGAACACTGCTTTGTGTTCTATGCTTGAGGGTATGGTTTCGTCATTCAGAGGATAAAAGTATTTTTACCAAATGTTTTCGAGGAAATAAATTCAACTAGATGTAGTTAATTTACATGAAAGTGTAATATCATAAAATATTTATCTTATTAATAATTCATATAATGGCAATTTTAACCTACTCACAAAAACACATATGTACACAACATTTAAGACAAGAAATGTTAAATATCCTTCCATACATGCATGAACATGATTATACACAGTAGATTCATTGAATAGGATCCGTTTACCTTTGCTACGTAATGCATGAAATTAAATAATAAAACACGAGACAGAAGATCTTGTTAAATTATGTATAATTATAAAAATGATTAAGCAAATTTGAAGTAAATATATATTTATATTTGTGCATAATTTTCTTACAAGGTGAAAATATACGATTTACTTTGCAATTTAGACCAGGACATCTCGGGTTCTCTGTCCTTTTTTTTTTCTATATAAAAAACAGCCAATTGAACAAATCCATTTCTTAAAGAAATAAAGACTGTAATTGTTAAATACAGATTATGGTCTTGCGGATTATCCTCTAAAGTGACAAGTACAAACGAGAAAGCCATTAACTTCATACTTTGCTTAATCAAATCACAGATATAATGACACCTTGCAACGTTTAGATCTAACCAACATTGCAACTTGTACTCTGAAGAATAACAGAAAAAAGAAACAATTAGTAACAAATTAAAACATTCTACCAATGACACGGTCATCCTAAGTAATAAACAAGAAGTATCACAGTTACAATCAGGGCTATCCCTGTGATTGTCAAAGTAATGGCGCAGATCAGCTTCCGATTTCTTCTTTTCATCTTCTTCTTCACATTTGCTGCACATTTAGCAAAGGAACTGGACTGAAAAAGACAAAACGTTTATGATTTTGAACATCAGATTTTGAACAGTCATAAAAAAGACTTTTGTTTGAGGATCCTTCATGTTCCTCTTAGGAACGACATATGGCATCCCAAACTAAGGTTAAAACAAGAAACGGTCTGTTACGAAAACGAAGTAAAACACCCGGTATCATATACTAGTATATGAAATCTGAGTTGCCCTTTATACATGTAGTTATTCTTTATTTAAAAAAATTAATACAAGAAGAAATTTCTGAAGAAGGAATAAAACAATTATTATTCGAAAGTTCTTCAATAAATATTTGAAGTTTCTCTAGTGGATACAGGCATTAAAGGATATTCAATGAAAAATGTTAAGTCTGATATAACAAACACTGCATCAAAAAAAGTGGGTAAAATAAAGAAAAAAAAAATGTTAACAAGGGTGATAACAGCAAATCTTCCTTATAATGCATCAATCAGACATACCAAATCCTCCAAATGACCAGACCTCGATTCCAGTTCCTCTAATTTTTCTCCTCGTTTTGCTACCTCCTCTACGTTATTCTTCATGATGTTTGTAACTTCTCGCACCTGACAACGTAGATCGTCGATGTTTGTCTTCTTTGTCTGATTTTGCTGCTGGTTTTGTTGTCCTTCTTGATGTTGTGACGGGCTTGGTGTAGCAGTCTGACTTGTAATTGAAGGCGCACTGGATTCCATGGTGTAAAAGACAGTTGTACTGTTACCCTGCGTAAAAAAATAAAGCAAACCAGTGAACTTTTACACATTAGAAATAATAGAAAATATAAGACCAAAGAGATAACATATACAAAGATTTTTCTAATATTCTTTTCGAGAAAATCAATCGGTAAATGTTTATTTCAAAATAATAACTATGACCAGAGTAGAAAATCGATGTTTATCTCAAATTCACAAAATTAAAGGCGTGATTCTTTGGCTAAGTAATATATAAATGGTATGGAATAATTTAAGACCTAAGAAAAATATGCTTGTTTGCCGTTATTTTTACGGTTACCCGACCGACCTACATAACACTGATCGACCCAAATATTTGCTTTTTCTTTGTAAAGTCTGAAACATGTACATGTATGTTTTACGTGCCACAGAGTTTGATACATCTGTTTTATATTTGTATATTTAATTAGAAAAAGACGTTAATGGTAGTTTAACAAAGCTTTATGATAAACGTGTTTTAACTTTTCAATCGTCAACTTCCCTTACTTATGCAGCAATATACCCTTATCACCTGCATACGGGGTTTATATCTCTCAGTTAATTCAATACGCCAGAGCATACTCTACGTATGAACAATTTCTAAAACGAAGTAAGTTATTGACAAACAAGTTGATGAAACAAGAATACCAGCAATCACGTTTAAAGTCATTATTTCGTAAGTTCTATGGTCGATACAATTACCTTGTCAGCAAATACAATCTATCATTAAGACAATTGCTGACTGACTTTTTTCATACTAATTGTTAGGCCATTATTTACACACTGAATTGTCGACGGATTTTTCCGTTATGTCCCAATCATGACAAGGAGCACTCGGCGGCTGTGACCGGTCGGCAGGGGATGCTCACTCCTCCATGGCACCTGATCCCACCTCTGACGTCTTAGAGGTCCGTATTTGTACTGCTCCTATTTTGTAATGTTTAATGGGCTTTTGAGCTCGAATACTGTTCGTTATCTCAATATATTTCATGTGACAGTTTAGGAAGGCAACTTTTTCAGAGCTGACGGATAGATTGTAAAAAAGAAAACATACTTTATGGCTAGAGATGCAAACAAATTGAAAAAAATGTATATTAAAGTTATGTCTTTATGTCCAAAAAAAAAAAAAAATTAAATATAGAAACAAAATCCTACCTGTCGACCTTATTTTTTTAATAAGCATGTAAAGGTAACCAAACATTTTTTTTCGAAGGCCTAATTTCGATTAATTTGTATGATTTCCTTCACGACTCTTACTTAGAACTTTCATATATAGAGCTGTTGGCTGAAAGATAGTTTGAAAAGATGTTCGTACACGCAATTACGCCCCAACGAACCTTAAATTTAAAGCCATCCACAAAATTTCTCCAAACAAATCAAATTTACTTAATAGCATCAAATTTACTGATAGTTATCATACATTAAAGGCAAACAGTATAACTTTGAATTTGGTACAGCTTTTGAATAAAAGTAAATAAGAAAAAATGATTGAGTGATTGAATGTTTAACGTCCAATTTGAAAATTTTTTACTCATATAGAGACGTCACCATATACCGGCGAAGGGCTTCAAATTTAGACTTAAGGTCATTGAGCAGTAAGGGTTCTTTATCGTACCACCTCTCCAACCATCAATCCAACAAGGGCCTCCAGAACACAAAGCGAACTCCCTACCACTAGGCTTCCGTGACCGGTTAATAGAAAAAGGATGCATAGTAGTAAGTTAACAATGACCAACCGTGACATAGGTAAAAAAAAAATCTACTAGTATATTCATTGGAGAAAACAGTGCATACTTCATTGGCTCTGTATTCCTTGGAGTTTCCTGTGTTACTGTGGTGATCTATCAATCTCTCTTTGAGGAAAACTTTGGCCCTTTTTGCTTTCTTTTTGACGAACGCAATTTTTGACTCCGATTCTTCTATTGATGTTGTTGAAGGTTTTTTCTTCTTCCGTTTATTTTCAGGAATGGAATCAGCAACAGGTTCCTGCTAAATATACAAGTTTAAGTAAATACATATTTCTGTATTCTTTGAATAGATTTATTTTTACCTTTAAGAACTATTTTGTCGTGGAAAATTATTTTCATCGAACATAATTAACGCTGTTAATCGTCAAATTGCATCCAAATAAAATGAAATAAAGAGTAACTAAGATATATTTATTGCTTGATTTGGATTTGGTTGGATAAAACAGGTGTTGAAAATATGTCCCAGGTAGGCCATATTATAAGTGCTGGAAAAATGACAACTACATGTACGTACATATGTAGTAATGAAAACCACTTTCTAAATAAATAAAATAATTACTTAATAAATTATATGCATAATTATATAGTGTATGGTTTTTGTATTATATGACGGAAATACTTTTTTTTAGATTGTCCTGTTTGTCCCTATCTGTTGATTCACTTGTTGCTTGATGTGCTATTTAAAACCGAATAAATTTCTTACTTTCAATTCAGCCTTATCGGTAACTGGTAATGCTGATGACTTTGTAGGGTCAATCCCATCTGATGAGGGTCTACCTTCCTTTTGCACTGGTGTTGTCGTTTCCTTAGTAATGTTTTCTACTGATCGACTCTTTGTCACTTTGGAGGTAGCATAGATGTCTACTTCATCTAATAATCTCTCAGTTTTTTCTGCCTTTTTGATATTTTCTTCCATTGATGTCTTTGCCTCTTGAACTTGTAGACGTACCTCGTCTGAGACATGTCTTTGCCTTTTTCTACGGCCAGCTTCATCTGAAGATGTTTCTTTCTGGATTTGTTCTGCATTGCTGATAATGTTTAGTTTTTCAGTATCCGAGAATGCCACAGCAGAACGATTTTTCCGTGATCTCTGAATTGCATATCAGAGACTTTTAATTTATATTCAGATAATATAAGTTTCAATCAAAGTATAATTTTCAGGTATAACATTGCAAGCAATATGTTGCAAATGATAAATCAGGATAAACATTATTATGCGAAAAAATTATTTAATTATCTTTCATACATACAATCAGAAGGTCTTTCATTCGTACATACCATAGCATTGTGTCTTTGTAGTGGCTGGAAAATTAGAAAAAAGTAGACCTTCAGTCATAAGCATTGACAAATCGAATACTAAAAACTTATTTAATAGATTCCATCGAGTCAACACTAAGTATGACATAAGTTCTCTTTATTCAAGTATCATGTGATCAATTATGCATGATATATCAATAGCACGCAATCATATACATGTTTAGGGAAAAAAACTTTTTCATATTGCCAGAATTAATCGTATGATTTGTTTATGTGTATGTGTTTATGAAAGTTTTCTTTGGAGCCGTCGGAATAGGTTTTTGCAATTATTTATTTTAATGCATGGCCGTAGGAACCGGGGGGGGGGGGCACGGGGGGCCGTGCCGCCCCAATAATTTTGCCGATATATAGAATACTATAGAAAACATAGCTACTACATGCTTGTGCCCCCTCATTAATAACGTCCGATGACCTTTTTTTTTTTTTTTTTTTTTTTTTGCTTGTCAAGGAATTTTGGAGTCGATAGTGCCCCCTCAACTGAAAATGTATGATTGTGCCCCCTCAAAGTGAAATTGCTTCCTACGGGCCTGTAATGTAAATGAAAAAGTTGAAGATAACGAAGAGTGACTGATCTCAATAAAATCTACAAACAATACAAATCTGTGAACAGGAAAACACAGACCCCCGGGAATTCCAGAGGTGGGATCAGGTGCCTAGGAGGAGTAAGCATCCCCTGTATATCATTCCCTTGAGTATATCCTCAGCACAATATTGAACTAGAGCGAGGAACCACACGTGTGATTAGTGTTATGTTTGAACTCTAGTCATATATTCCTACATTTTCAACAGTTATGTAATTTTTAAGTCCGTTTGGATAGAACAAATTTAGCAAGTATTGATAGCATAACAGTGATGTATTATGTATACTGTACAGTCCTTACAACCTAGGAAAAATAACGAATAAGAAATGTCAGCGATTCAAGTAAAATTGGCAAAATAACTTACTTTTTAAAGATCAAATCTTAAACGACAATACATAAACAAAAGCTTTAACTGTTAAATTTAAAGCTTTAAAATTTATTACGACCCCCTTTATTTTTAATGACTGACTGGTTGATTGATTGTAAACGTATGTTGTTTTATCCCACTCGAGATTTTTTCACTTATATAAAGCCGTCACAATATACCGATGAATTGTTGCTTCAAATTTAGACCTATACTCAGCGCTTAAGGTCATTGAGCGAAAGGGTACTTTTTCGTGCCAACGCCTGCCGTGACATTGGACCTCGGTTTTAAAGGTCTCATCCGAAAGACCCATAATGCCGAACGCTCGGCGAAGGAACAGTCACTACTTTTGTTTACATCTTAGGTTTGACGCAGCTCAAAAGAGAATTGAACCCAAGCCTCCCGATCACGAAGCAAATGCCCTACCACTAGGCTACCGCGATCGGTTTATTTCTAATGAAAACTACAGCCATTTATCAATTTGTAAACGTCGCTTACCGGTTCCAGGCAATTGTGTATATTTCCTGTGCAGCGTCATGTTCAATCAAGAAATAGACAATGAATCCAATAGATAATGTACTTAAACCTACTTTGCAAATTTGATTAGTTATATAAACATAATACATGTTTATACCACATAATTCTTTGTTAGTTCTGGAATTAACGGTTGCAGCTATTGCAGGAAATATTAACATAACCCGCTTACGCAGGTTTAGTGTTTTTCTGCAATAACTGCAATGTTTGTTCCTGTACAAGTAACCAAAGAAAGCATCTTAATTGTTGTTTAAATATATATAAATTTAAAAAAAAAAGATAATTTGATTATATGAAAACAGGCAAAATATTGTGAACGATAACATAATTTTTTTTTAATTTGCAGCCTATCAAATGCAAAAAAAAAAAAAGAAACTAGGTTCTCCTATAATCAGCTTGTAACATGTTATGAAACACATAGGTTTCAAAGTGAACGTTAAATCGACTGAAATAGGTCCCATAACCAGTACTTAGCTGGTGCTGCTAGTAAGCGGTTTTCTTAAATCTAGTTTTTTTTTAATTTTCAAAAGACACTCGGCAAACCTCATTTCTGTTGAAAATGATAAAAAAAGGACTTTCAGTTTGAGAAATTTCGCCATGGGTTTGGAATCTTTATCTATATTACTGCTGAATTCCATATGCATGAATATTATGAGACTTATCATTAAGGGAAAAAACATTATCTGCATATATGTAACAAGTTGTTCTGTATATTTATAAAACAAGTGTTGGTTTCCTGTTTGGTGTCAATACGTCTTTTCTCCCTAGATTTTCCCAGTTTAGGGCAAATCTGTTATTTTTACTGCATGCATGTAAGATATGGTATTTAAACGGAAAATGGTATTTAAACGGAAAAGTTTTCGTATAGGCTGGGAGAATATTTATTATGCCTTTATAGAGTCGAAAAAATTAATTGTAGGAATTTCTTATTACGTCTAAGCTTTCATTAGAAAAGTACAAAATTAAAGTTAAACTCTAGAAATACCCTTCAAAAGCCTGAATAGTTTTTAAACAAAAACAATTATCTGAAAGTAACTTTTTGCGTACATGTACAAGTGATTATAACTTGTAAAGTTCAAAATCTAAATCATCTTCATTAGTATGTCGCTTGCTATAGATATTTAGTGTTATCACGCTATGTAACTATGTAAGTAACTGCATCCCATAAAGGGAGAATTCTCTTGACAGTCTATTAGAAAGTGAAGACAGCATACACTCTCGAAAAAAAATGTTCACTGCTCTAAAATGAGGAAAAAACTTACCATGTCGAATCATGCTTTTTGCATATTATTCACAAAATTACAATACATTACATTATAGATGTAGTAATATTATACAAGGACGTTGTAACAGTCAGTTGTTTGCATCCTGTATGTTTCATCGAAAATTACACCAAGCTGTCAACTTCCTTTAAACAAACTATTTTAATTAATAATCCTTAAACAACCAACTTTCAATGCGTGATGGGTGCTTAAAGGGGTTAACATTGCCTTGAATGGGAATAACCAGGAAACATATCCGATCCTGTGGTAGTAAACTTCCTGTGATTCAGCAACATTTGAAGGTGATAAACAGTCTTTTTATATGAAATACATTTATAAAGTACCAGAAAAACGCATTTTATTGGAATTGGTCAACATTGAAAATAAATTCCCGACTTTGTGGTATCTGTATTATAATAGGGAGTGATATCCTGACTTAGCAAGAATGAGAACTTCTTGGCCTGTTAAGAGGGTTTATGTACAACACATTTATTACTGTATAGCATAATTATGCATTATACTTCTGAAAAGTGCATTAAAAAATAGTGGATACAAAGCACTATGTTAAGTGTCCCTTGTAATTTTGTTCGTTTCTCTCTTTTAGTATGATTTTGCTGTTCTTTTGAGTTTTTAAGCAATGCATTTGAACAGATGATATAAGTTGATCTATATAAATTTAAAAACTATAAAAGCTTAGGGCTCGAAGAGGGTTATTTATTTATCCTTTTATATTCAAGGAAGGAAATTGGCTATAAAGTTATTTTTGTGTGTATTCATACCTTCATGACTTATCACGTAATTCACTCTCAATAACATAAGTGTATGTTTTTTATCTCTACGGCTCAATAGATCGATAAAAAATCAATGATTTTTTTTAATCATTTTCGTCAATCAATATATATATATATATATATATATATATATATATATATATATATATATATATATATATATATATATATATATATATATATATATACAATAACCAATGATACTTTTAATATGCTTACTTTTGATTCACTGGTCATATTTGCAGATGAATTGCTTTCTCGCCTCAAAATAACTTCATCATTTTGATTCTGCTTATAATCGTTGTCAGAACTTGCTGGAGAATTTTGATCTTTACCCCCAAAAATACTGGGAAAAGAGTATATATCTATTTCGACAGGAGACATCAATGCAGATGCTTTATTTTCCTTGCTTTCAGACGGTGTTGAAGAAGTGTCTAGTGTTCCTTTATAAAAGGTTTTAGGTGAAGCATAAAAGTCAGCTTCATCTAGGGGCTTTAGACTGGGTACACCTTGATCATTAATTTGAATTGTCGCTACACTTAATGCATCACTATTGTCTATTCTCAAAGGCGTTGGTGGTGCTAAAGTTTCGTTAACTATATTTTTCGATATTTGAGTCTCTGTCACATTTGTTCTGATATACATCTTTTGGTCATTTGGTGAAGTTTCTCCCTGGTCAATCGTTTCCACACATTCTTCACTTTTGTCTTCTATACTCCTTTCTTTCAGTCGATCTTCGTCCGAAATCTGTTTCTTTTTCCTCCGGCACACCACTTCCTCTGGAACTTGGCTTTGATTCTGGTTCACATAGCTTAACATATCAGTCTGGCCTTCGTCTGTTAATGGTTCTGCAGATCTTGATGGCTAAAATATCATGAAAAGAAACAAGATGCTCAGGTTATTGACATCTGTACTATTTATCTGTTTCAAGAATTTTTTGGTTGCTTATTATTTCTTTACTTCAAAGAAAACATTTCATTTCACACAAATATTCTTTATTTTACCTTCACTGGAATAAATATTGCAATCCTTTTTCAATGATTATAAGAAGTATAATAATTTTCCAAATGATGATGTGGATCACCCCCTTTGAAAGGAAAGTATAAACAAGAGGAAATTGTCTCTACCATTCACAAGTTCAAATAAAAATCCATATCTCAATCTATCAAGTTAAATAGTTTCAGTTTCCTCATCATTATTGCATTTGAAAACAAATTTGAGATAACTGAGCATGCCAGGGTGCACTTAATTGGATTGCATTGGTGTTATTCTTTCTTTTAATATTTTGGATCTAGGTTATTATTTACAATTAAATTAATGCCTACAACAGCAACAATTAAGACATGATAGAATTTACATATACAATGTTGTAATTAAGTAAGTTTATTTTAAATTTTCATCTATCTTACATGTATATATAGAATGGAGAAGAAGTTAAAGCAATATGAGCTGCAACTTTGATGTCAGAAATTTTTGTTGCAAAACTGTAATTAACAATTTCAATGACAGAAAAAATAACGTTTATTAACTTCTGTTGACGATGGAAGAACTATTCATAAGCTTTGATTGAAGAAAAAATTACATTATTGTCGTCCTGTACAATATTGAATTCTTCTATAATACTATATATTTGATTGTACAGAATCCTTTATTCTGAAACATTTTGATACTTTATTTCTGTCTAAGTGATCAAAAACGTTTAAATTAAACACAATTTTATCATAAAAACACATTTTAACAGCAAAATAAAATTTTCAAAAATGCAGTTCATATTGCTTTAAAATTGTTGTCAAGAAGCATGATATATTATCCTAGAATTGAACTAGTCAAGAAATAGGTCTGGGTAGCAAATTTATCTTAAACTTGGAAAAGTGTGGCGGGAGAGATTTCAAACTCCCATTTTTTACTGTTATAATATATGCATGTTAAGACTAACTTTCTTTGCTATTTATGATTAAAAGGCAAGGTCAAAGATCGAGGGTTTTAGTATCTTGTGATTTTAAAAGGCTAATTGACAATTGAAACACATTATAAACGTATAAACCAACTATATGCATTTTAGTATAGAGAACATTTACAAAACAATATATAGGGATATCTCCATAACTTTTATGTATCTTGCAATATAAAAAAAATCGTCAGTCTTATTCACAGTTATCTTGAGTCTGAACATTTTAAGATTTGAAACTTCAGATCTCATAGTGAAAAGGGAGAAACAAGATAAAGTCAATTATGCAAATGGCAAATTTGAAAACTCTAGCCATATATGGAAGCAAAACAGTAGGATGGGTGTCAAGTGTGGTAATCGGACGCCGAAGAAGATATATACTGTAGATCACCAAATTTTTGCGACACCTTATTTTCGCGACATAGGTATTTGGTAATTATTTTCACGAATTCTAGGTATTGTTTTAGATAACCTATACTAATGAATATATACGAGAGAATTGAATTTTCGTTAGCATACCCTTTCGCGTTATTACGCAAAAATAAAGTTCTTGTGAATAAAAAGTGATGAACAGCATAAATAAATTCTTTGTGCCGTATCATTTGCTCGTGTAATTCATCTTTCTCACCATACGCATCGAAATTAATGATCATTTATTCTATAAGTAATTTTCTCACCCAACCATAACTATGTTTTTAACTTAAATCATATCTTTGATAATAAAGTTGAGTGCTATTAATACCACGTTTAAAAGGGGTCATTTAATGATAAAAATTTTAGTACCCACTTTGTTTTTTTTAAAATAATAAGCAATAAGCATGCACCTATTTTTGTATTCATATGAAGCAGAATTTATTCAAAATCTTATACATGCATGAGAAAACGAAATCTCTTGCTGTGGCCTTCAGATCAACTCGATTAGATATATCGACGACGTATAATCAATTAACAAAAGTTATTTCCATTCATATGTCGACACGATATATCATAGTGAGCTTAAAATAAAAGATACCACAGAGTCTGACACATCTGTTTCATATTTGGATATTTTACTAGGGAAAAAAACGTTAATGGTAATCGAACAACAAAGCTTTTTGATAAACATGATGACGTCAGCAATTCAATCTTCAACTTCCTTTACTTATGCAGCAATTATCACCTGCATATGGGGTGTATATCTTTCAGTTGATTCGATACGCAAGAGCATACGTACGAACAATTTCTAAAACGAGGTAAGTTATTGACAAACTAGTTGATGAAACAAGAATATCGACAGCCTCGTTAAAAGTCATCATTTCGTACGTTCTATGGTCGATACAATGACCTTGTCAGCAAATACAATGTATCATTAAGTCATATTCCGACTGACGTTTTTCATACTACTTTTTAGGCAATTATTTACACACTTAATTGTCGACAGATTTTTCCGTTATTTTCCGATCATGACAAGGAGCACACGGAGGGTGTGACCGGTCGTCAGGGGATGCTCACTCCTCCATAGCACCAGATTCTACCTTTGATGCTTTTGGATGCTTGCTATGGTCCCGATTTGTATTGTTTTGATGAAATTTGAGCTTGAATACTGTTTGTTATCTCCATATTCCATGCTAAACATGGAAACTCAACTCCGCACGGAAAACAGAAAATTAAGTCATATACATCCCAAGGTTCTCAACGATACAGTATATATCAATATTGTAAAATAATCATCAAATGCAGGTCAAAACCAAGTTGAAGGTTCGAAACCCTCTTATTTTGCAAAACCTCTAGTGGCACAAAGACTAAATCCCTATCTATAACAGTTGAAAAGAGAGTTTGAAAGACTATTAGGCAGAATGCTGTTAAAGTCGCTTTTCTTTGCAGCGACACAATTATCCTTCATGTAGTTTACCTCATTGATCGAGTTTATCAAATCAAAAAGCCACGGGTAATTCCAATAAGAAATAGTCTTCGAGATATATTGTTTATTTGCAAATTATGAAAAAAATGTTATTTGCTTTGCAAAGATTGTTTTCATAATTTTACTCGTTCCAATTGAACTGGTAACTATCAAAATCGAAGAAAAGATGTTTATTGTGAATAGGATTATAAATTAATCATCTGTTCTTTTTTAGGTTATTCTAAATGTAAAAAAGTTTTCCAAAAGGAAATTAAAGGTTTATCAGTATTTTGTACAAAAGAAGTTATTATAATAACAAAGGAAGTAGCATTATTTATACCTACATGTATATTCAATATTATAACTTAGCTGGGAAATGCAATTTCGAGTTTCCAAAATTAACTTAGTTTAATAAACCCTGGTGGCAGATAACTTTTTCTCACAGTCCTTTAATGAATCTATTCTAATATATAGTTTTAAACATCTGCAGTGTTATAAAGTTTTTATCATCTAATGCAGAGCTACATGAAATACATAATTTTACAAGTGCAGTAAATTAATTTTTTTTATTTCTTTTTATGTTAGATATTTTTGTTGTTGTTGAATTTTTAACCAAGTCGTAACAAACCCCTATTAACTAAGAACAAAAATGAATCTATTGCAATTTTTTTTATTTATTGAAAGACAGATGCATGTACAGAAGCTTCAGCAATACAACCGAGAGTCAAATAAAGGTACAAATACTCGTGAATTGAATATTTAGTTTTGTTAGGTATATGCATAAATTCGTTCTGTGGTTTAGATCAGTAGCTCATGACTTTAGTCCGAAACCGTTCCTTTGTAAACTGAATCAAGTTAGTTTTTAAGACATATAAACATTCATTTGCATGCAGCTTTGAACTCTGAGAGAGATCTTAAATTTTATCAATTTGAAAGTGATGTTGATAGACCATCGTTTTTGTACAAAATGTTTCTATTGGGTACAGGAGAGGTTGCTGGTGGTGCTGGTGTTGTCTGTGAGAATACGCCACCAAAGTACATAAAGACGATAATACCTCCCAACAGGAATATACAAAATATAGTCAAGACGATGATACACACGAGCTTCCGATGACGGGAACGATATTTTTTCACTACCTGGGTCGAAGTTACCTTAAAGCTCTGTGACTGCAAGCAAAGGAAATATAGACAGATATATTATACTGAACGAAATGAATTTCACTTTTGAAAGTGTTTTTACTTGTGTGACTTGATTTAAATTTGACTTATAAGATTGTCTTCTATTTCCTTTGCTTATCTAGAATCTAAAAATAGCTCTCTCAGTTACCTAATGATTTAAAAAAAAATGTCAATTTAACAATTTATACCATAAATTATTTGTGACAATTTTGTGAATTATTTGTGACAATTTTGTGAATTATTTGTGACAACTTACTGATAACTCAAGCTCCGATGTCCTGACTTCTAAGGTATTCAGCTTTCCTTCTCTTTCAACAACTTTCTCAATGTTATCTTTCATGATTCCTGTCACTTCAGTGACCATCTTCTTAACTTCGCGGATTCTGTCTTCCTGTTTGGATTCAACTTTGTCGACCAGAATGTTAATCTTCTCGTGTTCTTTGTCTGTGAAAGCCATGGCCTGTCTGTTTCTCTTAGACCGCTACGATTGAATACCAAAATAAAAATAAAATAAAGCATCGGTATATTCATTTTGTCAAAGTATATCGAAATTAGATAATATGTCCAAGAAAGCATTCGGTAAGCGATGATCAGAGAAACAATAAATATGTATAACTGAAAACTTACCATCGCATCTTTTCTCTTCAGCGACTGAAGAAAAAAAGTTATTTGCCGATTAAGTTTTTATTAACTGATTAATATTTTGTAGGTACTGTCCATGACAATTTGCAACTTGTTTAATCATAAATTACTAAAAATTATAAATGCATCAAATACCATAAAGAGTAAAACCTTACCATAATGTCTAGCTTTGGTTTATTTACAAGTCTATTTCATGTAAAGCTTGACAATGGGTTCTTTATTCTCTTCATCCTCTAGTATTATAGTTAAACATCCTGTTTCGAACCAGAAGCAGACCCTACGATGCATATTTTGATAACTGAACACAAAGCCTTCATTTTATTGACACAATCTAGTTAATTTCATATAATATTACCTCTGTGTCTGTAAAAAGCTTGAAAAATACAAAGAAATAAAATTACATTCCCCACATTTAGTTATGATCTGAATCGAGCTACCACAAATATTGAAATGATTTAATATAAAACGTATCATATAATGATAAAAGTGTATTTGAAACTTTATTATCTAAATCTGCACATTTTCATAATCACGTCTTCCAAAAAATGTATATGTAAATAGTTTACTAGAATTGTTTTTACAGAGAGTGTTATATTTCTGTATACTTACTTCTATTATCTAATCGATTATTCATTAGTGAGTATCTGAGCTCAGTATAACTTTGAATATCAAACATACAGTATTTACAAGAATTGTGTTTATAACAAAAGAGCGGCAACTTTGTTCAACAATAAAATGTTTTCTTTATATATACGATTTGGACGGGTGCAACCTTGTAGAAAAAGATGTGCAAAAACGTACTATGTATTTGTTTCCAATGATTGTAAACGATCATCTCCATATAAACAAAGAAAGTAAAAATTTATTGTTTCTATTAAGATATATAAATTAATCATATAGAATTGGCGAAAGTACAAAAAAATAATGTATTATCGATCAGTACTCTTCATTGATGGACGAGCTATGAAACATGCAGTTGAACATTGACACTTTTAAAAATATTTCATATAGATGGCAGCAATTAACAATAACTCTGACAATAAAATATTTACATCAACTGAGTATTTTCTCTTATATCTTATTGTTAAAACCGATTGCTCTATATTGAAGGAATGAACAATATTTACTTCTTAACTTGTTGCATGTAGATCCGAATAGATATAACTAGTTCAAAAGTAAATATTGTTTAATCCTGTAAATAAACCTTTACAGCAATTGGTTATAATAAGAAATAAAGACAAAAATATTCAAATAAATATTGATGACGGTCAAGCAAAAACCACCCTTAAGTCTAAAATTTTACATTTTGAGGTGTTTAGTCATCCTGATAGACAATTTTCTCCTCTTTAAAATTATATATAACATGTCATTCTTCATAGACTAAAAATAAGTTATAGATTTAAAATAAAAAGTACAAATTCTATGTCATGACGCTGTGTTTTATCGGAAAACGTCATTTTTAAAATTTTTTTTTTGTTCTCACATGTCCATGGTTGCGTTGTCAAAACTGCACAAGAAAAATCAACTAGGACTACAGATGACATTACAAATGTGATTTTTTTTAAAAATAACTTTGGTATTGTGCCTTTTTATGATCTATATATTTAGCATTTCAGAAGAAAATTCAGGTTTCTATTACACAATCCCTCTTTAAAAAAGCAGCCTAGACAAGAGATATCATTTTGTTTTGATTCTTTTTTTGATTCATTTTTTATCTTTTTTTATCTTTTTTTTGGGGGGGTGGTTTTTATTGTGCCTTTATATGATCTGTAATTGTAAAATTTCGGCGGAAAACTCACTCAGATTCTTCTAATACTAATCTAATACACTCAGATTAATCTAATACTAGAGGCTTTCATGCCCCCCCCCCCCCCAAAAGTTACACCGTTCAGATTAGATTAATTGTTTCTATGTTTTTTTTCTGTTTCAGAAGTTTTATTGCGTCATTCTATGATCGGTAATTGAACAATTTCAGAGGAAACTCCGATTCTTATAACCAACGGCCCCCAATTTTCCAGAAAGAGAGAATGGCCAATTAATATATTATTTCACAAATAAACTAAATCAAGCCGTTCGTCTAAAATACATGTACTTTCAGTCCTGATTTTTTTTTTTCAAATGATAATTATTATGTTCCGGAATTTATTCTTTTTTGGAGCAGTTTGGAGGAGCAGGTTCGATAGCACCTTTCTATTGTACTCGCACAAATGGCCTGCAGAACTTTTTAAAGAAATCCTTCTCTCTAGCCGTCACTACAATTATCACAGGAAGGAGATGAACAAATTTAAAGACACAGATAATACATATCGCTGTAATATAATTTTGATCCAGTGAAACTTTTGCTCTGGACTTTGTTTTCCCGTAAAAGGAAAGACTCCCCCCCCCCCTCCTCACATTATGTATCTGCTTAAAATGTAACTTTCTTAGACATGGCGCTCTTCCTCGTGGTGGAAAGCAAGCTCACAGAGCAATGATCTCTCTCCGTCTTTACAGTTTCTTATTAAAGCAATCCCAGCATCCACCAACTTTTATCAAGTTACAGGACTTGCATACGAAGAAAAGTTTTTGACTGCATGATAGCAAGTCATTATATTCTCCATGATAAATAAGTACACATTTTTTAGGAATAAAAGGATTAATTATTTGAAAAAAAATTGAGAATGTGTTTATTCCTCCTTGATTATAGATGACGATTTTGCTAAATTTAAGACACAAATAAAACCTGACCTATTTGTTTAAGGTATGCATATAAAAATGCATTACCAGGATTGAATATAGAATTTGCAGTGTGGTTGGGGTCCATATTTTTTATCAATATATAATTATCAGGATGAAGATTTCCGTCGAGGATTAAGTTGTTCAAACGTAACATTTAGAGACCAGTCATGTTGGGGGGGGGGGGGGGGGGGTGATTTTTGCTACTTTCTCTATAAAGCACGCGTTTCGTGCACCCCTCCTCTTGGTGTGACATATTTTTTTATATTTAAAAGAAATGACATATGAAGGATTGTCACAACTACACTTTTTAAAAATAACACCCGATTTCGCCTAATCTAAGTTTTCCGTGAAATGTAGAAACAATGTAGAAACAATGACCAAAATGTACGATCCTCTCTCATTCTGGAGAGAGCTAAAATGTGAACCGTGGCATGAGACGATTCGTGCAAAAATGCAGCATTAAAACAATTCTTTTCTCCCCTGCACCAATATCCCTTGGAGTCAAATCTTTGTCTATTCAGAAATTCTGCTACGAATGTCTATATATATGAATAAATAAATATAAAAGCTGCATATTAATGTTAAAAACAAAAATTGTGTTCTAATAAAACTAATAAAACTGTACAATTGTGGTTTGATTGGTCGATTAAACAGGCCCGTAGAACGCGAAGAGGGGGGGGGGGGCAGCCCCCCCCCCGCACTTTTTTCTATGGTAATATGCTATAGTAAATTTTCCTTTAGATGCTGGTTAGTCCCCCACTTTTTGATTTTATTTCTACGACCTCATCAAAGTTGTATATATATATATATATATATATATATATATATATATATATATATATATATATATATATATATATATATATATATATATATATATATATATATATATATATATAGTTGTTTTTACCCATTTAAGCCATGTATTACTAGTATTATCTCAGTAAATTTACGATACAACACAATTTAGAGTCTAAATGATATCAATTTTATATTTATGATAATTTATCATCTTTTCCCATAGAGGTTGTGTTGGTCTTTGATTAACTGATCGAAGGATTCACAATGTTGCAGTATTACTCCTTTCAGAGTATGAACTGAGTAAAAGCATGTAAATTTTTTGTTTAAAACTCTTTTTTGTAACAACTCTTTTATAGAATTAAAAATCAACAGACTATATTTCCCCCTCTAAAAATCAATAAACATGCAAATAAAATACACACAGAAACCGAAAAATCTTTGGAGGAAGTGGTGAATACTGAACGCCTTCTGTTGCCAAGTACCACTAAACAATTATAATGCTGGTTACTTCCCTTTAATAACGGTACATGTTAACATTATATATATATATATATATGAGGCACGTAAGAAACAATTTCAGTTGGGGGAGGAGGATTCTTGACAAGCAATAGAAAACAAAACAAGCATTCTTGACAAGCAGAAACAAAGCAAAACAAAACGAACTTTTTTTCTCATTTTGTTATAGTTGTAACCTGCAAAATTATACTTAAGGAACACAAATGGAATTATAGCTTTGTTTTCTAAGGTATTAAATTATACTGATAAATTATAATCCTGGGAACCCATTCCCCCTGGTTTTTTTAGGCCTGTTTTTCTTTTTTGGTACACAATGCTGTTTAGTATGCAAATGAAATTCCACATTTTTGTGTAATATGTACATAGGTTTTACACTTTGATTAGGTTGTGGCAGCAGCATATCTATGCTTCTAAATTTGAATAGAAATATTAATTAATAGTAACACAAAATACTGTTGAATATGAGTATGATCTTTTTATTACTGCCCAAGCCTCAGGATAATATGCGATTTCTCGCCATATATATGTTTTTGAAGTAAAAAAAAAAATGCTCTTTAAAATTGTAAAATTATCCTGCATTTGCTACTTCGTAAAATTTTCACTTTCAGTTTGCTGTTAACTGGTAAAAAAAAAATTCAAGAATACTAAACAGTAGTCTTTAATAATTACACTCAAAAATACTCAGTATGTTGTCTAGTCTAGGCATCTACTTTATAAAGAAAGACTTTTATTAATAATGAGTCTTAACACTGCACTTTATTTGCAAAATACGGCAAACATTTATGACGTCAACTTTAGCGCTCGATTTCTCGATAACGTCACAATGCTCATAAGGGTGGTTTTCGCTTGACGGTCATCATATATGAGAGTATTTCATTATCACAGTAACCAATTATTCTATAACTTGGCCTTGGTTACAAAGTTTGTGCTAAAGCATTGTATGAAATTAATTTTTCCTTAGAGATGTAACATATGGTAGTTACTTAAAACTTAATCTGTTGAATTTATTGTTTTTTCTACAGAAATGTATTTCTGAGTGTATTTCACATTTCATATGTAAATGTATAAGTATTTGAATTTTAAAATTAAAGCAACGTGAAGTGTATTTTCAAAATTTCATTATACTGTGAAATGTGCTATAAGAATTTTTCTCAATTGCTGTAATTTTTTTTTATGAATAAGACTACTAAAGCCATGCTTTTAATTTTTTTTTTTAGAATGTACATGTTAATTGTATTATAAAAGAAATCAGTTTGGACGATAATCATTTAATTTAATTCAATCAGAGCTTTTAAATAATTCTTCCAACAATGAAGTTTATAAACAATAATTATTTTCTGTCATTAAAAATAGTAAATTGAAATTTTTCAACATAACTTCAAACGTAAAAATTACAGCTTATATGGCTTTAAACATCGTGAATTGTAATATCAAACTTTAATCACATTCGAAAGACCACTGATTTTCACCAGTAAATGCCTGATGGTTTGACGAAGGAATAACTAATTCTAAAGTTTTTGTTAGGTAAAACTGCTTTTAATCACATTAACATTGTGTGCATATATCTTATAGAGAATATCTACAACGTTAACCAAATCCAATGTTCTGCTATTTTTAAAAATATCACAAATACATCTTTTTTTCTTATCGAGAGATCCAGATTATCATTAAAACAATTATCCCTAATGCAATCAGAAATACACATATACTAAATAAAACGGGGGGATTTTTTATCTTCTTGTTTTTCTCCTGTTCCGATGTAATTGCAATTGTCAAAGCATACTTCTGAAATGAACAAGTTTCAAAGTTATTTAAAACAGTATTTCAAGGATATACATATAGCAATGATATGTATGATAATAGCATTTTACAAATATTTCTTTGATATCACCAAATTTTGTATTACCAGTTTATCCACTTGAGATGAAAGCAATGACATTTTTTCTTCTAGATTTGTAATTTTTTTCAGGTTTTTAGCAGCTATGTCACTGACTTTTGCCACGTCCTGTAAAACAAAGTCGTAGGTGGAGTTCTTTGACGTTGGAAATCCCTCTCTAGAATGAAATGTATCTGGTGGGGAATTCTAAAATAGAAGAAAAAGGGAAAATGTTGACCAGCTGTAAATTTTAAGTTGTTTTATTATATAAAATTCATTAAAAATGATTTTATAATTTTTTTTTTAAATTATCAAAGATATACGAATCAAGTCAAGAATCCTTACTTGAATTATAAACTGTCTAAAGAAATCACTTTCATCTAATCGGATGACATCTTTATTTTCATATTTTTCTTTTTCAGCCAAATTGTTTTCCGCACTGCTCCTTTGTGATGGCTAGAAGTGAATTAATAGCACAATTTAGTCACAGCCTCTTTGAATTTTACATAAATTATGCAAATCATTACACTGTTGCTAATTATAATAAATATGTCATATTACCTAAGTAGTTTATATTGCAAGGTCAAAAGATCAATACTCTGAAAGTACTAGTATGAAAGTTAAATAGAGTCATCAAAGCAACATCTATTTCATCTTTCTCACGCTTGGCATATTTTGCAATATTATTCAACCTTGTTGTTTTTATTGAGCATTTATTGGACATGAAAATCTGACTTTTAATCCAATCGTAGAACATTCATAATGTATTTATTTTGCTCTGTACAAGATATCAGATGAATAAACACATCCTTTTAATATGAAATAAATTTGTAATCAAACTTAAGATCTTGGAAATCAAATTTTGTCGCAGTGACATTACACTTTGAAATAACGACCATTTTTGAAATAATTATTTCAATAGTGGTTGAAAGTGCATTTCAAAACCAAACACAAGTTGCAACCATTTTTGTAATTACCGTTCACTATTGAAATAATTATTTCAATAATGGTTTAAAATGCATTTCAAAACCAAACACAGGTTGCAACCACAATTGAAATATTGTTCACCATTAAAAAAATGACTTTAATAGAGGTTTTTAATGCATTTCAAAAGCTGAACCAGGTTGCAACCATTATTGAAATAATGTTGCAACCATTATTGAAATAATGACCTCTATTGAAATAATTAATTTAATAGTGGATATTATTTCAATAGTGGTTTTATACGTGTAATCAATATTGAAATAACAACCTTTAATGTTATAACGCTTATAGTTAAGAAAGTTTTTATATATAGATATCACATAGATGTCTTCGTTCTTCTTTTTAATGTAAATATTCTACAACTATATGTATTTATAATCTTTAACTTTTCCCAATTAATAGCAAAGATGAAACTTATATAACAAAATTACATAGATCAGTTAAATCACAGTTATGCGAGTATTAATATTATTTCTAGACAGAAATTAAAAACATAAAATTACATATCATTCATTTATTGTGTTGGAAAACATAATGAAGAATTTATCCTTATATTTTTTTCAATAGTGGGGTAATTTCAATAAGGCTTGCAGTGTGGTTTTGGTATTAAAATCATTGTCAGCAACTATTAAAATAATCATTGCAATCACTATTGAAATCATTAATTCAATAGTGAACGTTATTTTAATAGTAGTTGCAACCTGTGTATGGTTTTGAAATGCACTCCCAACCACTATTGAAATAATTATTTCAACAGTGAACGTTATTTCAATAGTGGTTGCAACAACCCATATAAAATACGTGTAAGTCCATACACATTAAAAAGTTTGTGTCATATCCTGTACACCAAATACGACAAATTTTCATTTAATTGATTCAAATTGACTTAATGAGAAAATATGTTAAAGAGATGTGTAAACTGTAGCGTCGTTTTTCGCTTATACCGGGTTATTTTCCGAATCTTGGTGATGCCTCTTGGCGTCTATTGTATCTGTTGTCGATTGTTTCAGCCTTTTTCTTTGTTGTCTTTTTTCTATTATGCGATTGATGTTTTCTTGTTCTGATTCTGAGAGAAAAAATGCACGTCTGTTTCCCTTTCTTTTCTGCATTCAACAGGAAAATTATGTAAACAATGATATATTTATAATCTTCAATTTTATACAAAAAGTAGTCTCATAGTTTTAGGCCAAAACACTCTAAAAAGACAATCGTTGTACATGAATGTAAATTAAATTCGATTTGTGTGTCTCAAAAAGGCAAATATAAAATACAAATTTCTGCTTATTTCAACACCAAGCACAAATTAAGAGCCAATCTCTGTAAAGACTTAAACTTTTTTTTTTTTTTATAAATATTGGTTGCTATGTCTCATGGTTACTATGGCAACATAGTTTGAAAAAAAAAAATACAACCAGTGATCACTTTTAAAAGACAATCGTGTGGTATTGAAAGAAATTTTAATTTAATTCTTAAAATAGACTATGCTACGGAAAAAAATAAATAAAAATCTAAAAAAAAAAATAATTTATTTCCTTTGTATGTAGATTCCCAAAACATTTGATATTTGTGAACAACTAACCTGGCTTTCAATTTTGAATACCACACAATCTCTAACTGGATGCAAGAGGCTACGATATAGGGTATAGTATTGCTTTAAAGTTAACAAAATTGTACATTTTCCCTTCTTAGTAACCATTGCAACAGCGTTATTTCTTCATCTTGATCAATCTATGAAATTCAACTTTTCTTTTATCACGTCCAATTCAAGGTGAGTCAAGTAATATGTTTCTTCATTAAAAAGTAACAAATTCCCTAAAGCAGCAAAATATTATCACTTTTAACCACTGGTGCGTTGTTTCCATGGTTACACTACAATATATAAATTAATCCAAATTTTCTTAAGCTATCTGTGTTACAAGGTCCTAAAGATGTATATTTGCCGATCTTGAATTTCAAGCATTATCTTAAGCTTTGCAACAAATTGTGTGTGGTTACACTGTGTTACCATAGCAACTATAAAAGTTATTTTTAAAATAAAATTGTCAATACCTTATTTCTAAAGGTCAAATATTTTTACTGTTTTTGGTCCATTGATTGAGTTTGATCATGTTTACAATACCTATCATGAGTGAATATTTGGCTTTTAAAAGTATTTTTTCAACATTTAAAAGGTATTCCAAACGTACAATATGGTTACCACTTACCTAGAGATATATTCTTAAAAGTTTCTTTATAGCATTAGTGGCAAGGTGTTATGTTTATGTGAAAGTGGTTTGTTTGATCGATATACTTAGTCTTTATTAAGGTTCATTGAAGATTTTCAAAGTAGCTGAAAATCTCAATTTTTCACACTTTTCCGACTGTTACCATGGCAACCAAGATATATAGCAATGAATTGCAAATTTTACTTCATGTTTGTTTCTGATATCAAGTTGTAATGGACAAAGTTTCATCAAAATCGGTGACCATGAAAAAAAAGTTTTAGTGGTTACCGTTACAGAGACTATCTCTTTTAAAGAACTTAAAGATGACTTGATTTAAAAAGTATAGTCTTGTTGCTGTTAATAAACTATTTTTTGAAAAACTTTGAGACCATTTTAAAGACTTCGATTTTTACTTATATACAGTGTATCTCGATTAGTACAAATATAACATATTAGCCAGTGTAATATTTATTATTATGTATACTACATTGGCTGTGCATCAGATTCCATTTAATTTACTCTTTTTTTATTTGTTGCAAAAAGATGACAAAAGTAGCATCAGGCACTGTGCAAGAGACAAGGAAAATTTGAGAAACAAGAAAAAAAAATCATTTGCTTCTTAGAATTTCTATCCTTGTCTTTTTAAACCGAAAAGTATAAATCTTCTTACCAGTTCTTGTCTTTTATTCTGAAAAAGAGATGTAAAGATTTAAAAATGCATTAAACTGTCACATCTGCACAATATCTATAAACACAAAATGATAACAGTGCTTCTATTCTAGGGCAGCTTACTTAACTAGCAATGTTTGAAATGAACGCCACATCAACATATATTTCATAAATGAAGAAGGAGATAAGCCATTATGAAATTATTACATTTTTCTTTTATGGACTCTGATTTGACAACACTTTTCAGTTTAAAAAGATTATCAAATGAATATGGTGAAGTTAACGAACAGTGGTCAATAAAATATATCCTGTACACAACACAAATCGTGAACAAGGCAAAATCTCGGACCTCTAAAAACAACATAATTTTATAAACATAAACTGTTATAAAGGAAGCCAAAAACTTGAACATTTTCCTAGAGAGTATTTCAACTATTAATACAGACTACTCAGAGTTATCTTTCTTTGTTTATGTTATAAGGTGTCTTAACAAGACAATAGAAGAAGTAATTTTAAATAACCAATATTTTACTGATACACCACCACAAGTTCTGACCCATTTCATTTTTCCTCAAGAGCACATTAATATTTAACATCTCAATAAAAAAACTTTTGAAAAAAAAATTATTCATCATACAAATAAATAACCAAGCAAACGATAGAGAAAGAAGAACTAAGCCCTGTTTGACAAGCCTATTGTAGAATACTGTAGAAATTTCAGATGATTGACTGACTGATTGTATGTTGTTTTACGTGCCATTTGAGAATTTCTCACTTATATACTTCTCACCATTTCCTGTGAAGGGCTTCAAATTTAGATTTTAACTCGATACTCAGGGCCATTGAGAAGTGAGGGATCATTATCTTGCCAACGCCTGTCCCGACATGGTGGCTCGGTTTTTAAGGTCTCATCCAAAAGAACCGTATCTTTCAGTTCAAATTGCCGAGCAGTTGGCGACGCGACAATTTATATTTTTTTTTATCGACTTTGGTCAGTTGCAGCCGGGGTTTGAACCCGCGATTTTGATATTCAAAAATAGTACGTGTTTTTGGAATTTCTGTTTTGTAAACACTGTTTATATTGCTGACATTGTTAGCTTTGACTGTGATTAATTATGAAAAAAACTATCATATAAAAAGGTGAAGATAACAGAGATCAATATCAAAAAATCTACAAATAATACAAATCCGATAATAGAGCATAAAACACAGAAATTCCAGAGTTAGGATCAGGTGCCTATGAGGAGTAAGCATTCCCTCTTGACTGGTCACATCCGCCGTGATTCCTATGAATTGAGATAGACGAAACATCCCTTAGTAAATTTAGTATAAAAACAGAAACCTAACAATTGGTATGAAGCATGTCAGCCAAGATACGACTCAATAATGGGTTATATTTGCTAACAAGTCATTATAGCGACCATTGAATTTACGAAATGCTGACTTTAAACGAAGTCCCTGTAACATTAACTTATCTGTCAGTAGCCTGCCTTGGTTTAAAAATTGATCGTACTCAGAGCATGCTCTTGAATATCGAATAAGGTGGGAGACGTTAACATCATATGCAGGTGATAGCGGAATACTACTACATAAATAAAGAAAATTGACGATGGAAATGCTGAAGTCATCTCGTTTGTCATACATTTATAGTTCTTAGTTGGCCCACATCGTCTATAGTCAGTAAAACATCCAAATAAGAAACAGAGTTGCAGACTTTGTGGCATGGTGTCTTTTGTTTCAAGTCCACTGGGATATATCGAATCGACATATGTTTGGAAATAATTATTATTAATTGCTAAAAAGTCGTCGAGTTGTCTGATATCTGATCCGATATATCTAGTTACATGTAGCTAAAGGCAACAGGAAACTTCTCATGTAGAAGTTTTGAATTTATTCTGCTTCATAGGAATATCTTTAGAAATTGAACTGTGAGTATAGGTTGGGTTTCCAGACGTTTAATTAAAACCAAGTTGTTCTAAAATATAGTTATTAATAGTAATGAGCCTACAAACGCCTACAAACAAAGACGATATTGTTACAAGCCTTGTCTGCTGGAACCATACCACATTATTCTCGTAGTCTTTCTATTTCTTTTATATACATTTTAAAAGAAACGAAAAAAGAAAAAAAAGACAGCATGGTAAAGAAAAGGGCAGGGAAATCAAACCAAGATGTTACCAATATTTGATTCTTAATGCATAACTTTTGTGCATATATATATGCAAGACCTTTTAAACACTTTTTAATACATGTAATAACTATATTGTAATAAAATAATTTTTAAAAATCAAGTTGAATTTTCTTACCATTATTGCATCTTAGGGCAGCCATAGAAAATAAAATGTACACATGTCAACACATACATTGTATTTACAACAAAAACAGAGGCATGAATGTAACAGTAACTGACTTCCTAATGTCATAAGTATAAACATCCTGTCTCTTGTCCTACATGTAAGCTGGGAGGAAAGAATATTACGTAATTACATCGTAGTGAATTCTTATAGCCATTTCGAAGGATTTTTAAAATATCAATTGCAGAATGGTATTTGAAAAAAATGAGAACATTAATTATATTGGTATGTTTTATCAAACAAAATCATGAATTTCTTTATGGATTGTTCTAGCAATTCAACACGCGTGTATTAACATATATGAGAAAACTGCATGATTAATGGATATAAGGAAAATATATAACTTCTATGTGTATCATGAGAGAGTTTTTTAATACATAAAGTAGGCGAAGTTCCCATCAAAACTTCACCCACCAATTATTTCGTTTATACACAAATAAATTTGTGATAAATAGTTAAATACAAGACGTAAATAATGCAGAGTTTTTTCTATCACATAAATCAGCATCAGCCTATTCAGCATCTCAATTCATTAGCATAAGCCTCAACCAGCATTCAGACACCAATCAGCATAAACAACGACTAAAATCATTCATAGCAACCAATCAGCATTGAGAGCAACCAATTAGTATTGACAACAACCACTTAGCATTGACAGCAACTTAGCAGCTATACCGGCAATCAGTCAGCATTGACAGCAATTACGCAATTAGCATTTACAGCAACTTATCAGCAAATCCGGCAGCCAATCAGCATTAACAGCAACTAATCAACATAAATAGCAACCAGTCAGCATCATCACTCACCGATGAGTTAACAAGATAATTACATGTTGTATTACTAGCACTCTTCTACAATCCTGTTTTGAAATATCAATAATTTGTGACATGGTGAAATTCTCTACTCCATTCTTACTCTTGTGGAATAAGTATCTACCACACTTAAGTAGCAATGGTCTTCATTATCTCAAAGTAAGCTTAGTATATAACAAGCATGCCTAGCATTCAAATGAGCAATCATAAAAATTATTTAAATTAGCATGCACAAGGAAGCAATCAAATCAGAAACCATAAGAATTAAAGCAATAAAATCATAAGGTACATGTTCTACTATAAGAAAAAAGTTAAGTCAGCAAGTATAAAAACGCTTTCATACTAGCAAGTACATTTGTATAAGAAAGCACTTAAAAATCAGCAAACATAAAGAAGCATTCAAAATAGCGAGGAAAACATTTTTAAAAATCAGCAAGCTCGAACCCTGGAAGAAATCAGCATTTATGCTGCAACAGATAAAGGCCCCCGTTTTATAAGATTCACTACCTTTTGTTTGGTATTTTGTTACATTAAAGTTTTAGAATTCATAGAATTTAAAACTAACTATAACATTCTTAAAATAATTTCAATTTTTATTTTTCTGTATCACAAAAAATAAAGTACGCTTTCTTGAATCCATTAAATGTGGAATTTGAGCAATCTGTCACCTTTCGGAAATCAATTTACTCATGACAGATTGTGAAACAATCATTTTATCTACTAAATAAACTGTAAAATTCTTCTTTATTTCGGCCTTTTTGTTGGCAAATTCTTTGCGAGATTGGCTTGACACTTTGCTATGACACAGGTATTAAATTAATTGTACGATTTAGATCTTGTTTATTTTGTTTCGGCTTCACCTAATCTTCCTATTGTTAAAAACTCAAAACGGAAATTTAGCTAATTGACTTCATCACCTTTCGGCTCTTTGATAATGTAAGTAATCAGTGTCAAGCCTATCAAGAGAAATTGCCGACTTACCTGTAGTAATTTTTGTAACAAGCTTCCTGATTGGTCAAGAGTTCAATTCCGATGCAGAGTCCGGATAGTTTGTGAATTTAGCAAATTCACTTTCTATCTGCTGACTTTACAATAAACATCGTTCAACTTTAATCGGAATTGTTTTTCTTTGCCAATTTAGCATAACAGTAGAAAAAGCGAGTAGCTATCCTACCAGGCTAATTTCCCCAAACTTCATCGACGAAAAAGTCACTGTGAAAATTTCACCAAAGATAAAGGGGCCTGGACACAGTTGCATTGTTTACAATTTAAAAGTCTATTTTTATTCAAAAACTAACTTCAGTTAAATGATTTGAACTTACAAAAACTTCTAAAAATTCTAAGAATTCAATATAAATGACAACGACATTCTTCATAACATCTCGTCAAAACATGTGTTTGTAAACAGGGCTCTGTTAGTGTTTACTAGTACGTTTTACCGGGTGTACATGTGTGCAATTTGGTTAGTCGGCACACATCACTGAGCACGGACTGACAATTCTGGTCATTTGGTTTTGCTTTCTCGCATTTTACTCTGACCTTTCTGGATTATATTTTTTATATTTATTTTTAATACGCAAAAAATTGTTTTACTTTTCTTAAGTATTATGGATAAAGTTTACTTTGTGAAAGAGCAAAGATATTTGTCAAACAAACGAGTCCCGAAATTCGTAGTTCTAATAATTTCCAGATAAAAGAAGTTTCTAAACGCACTTTTAATATATTTCGGTGTGAAATGCTCTATCAACATATAGGTCATGATATTATTTAGAAAAAAATTAGAAAATATGAGCTTCAAATCTGTGTCGCAGCCCCTTTAAGAAACAAAATTCTGTACCAAAGTATGCTAGCTTCAACCATTGCAGGACACATAAGTTTCTT